TGTTATAAATTATTTCTTCTTTACTTGGTGATGAGGCAGTACAAACACCACATTTTCTTTGATCAGTAATAAGACCAGTGAATATTTTACAATCAGGATCAGAATAATAGAATGTACCTTGATACCCATGAACAGTAGATGTTTTTGTATAGAACTTACCGAAAGCAACACAAGAACTAACAACAGCAGGAGTATTACAAACAAATTGTTTGGTAGCAGGAATTGGTTCAGTACATTCTTTATCACCAAATTGTTCAACAGTAATTTCTTGGCATTTGTTAGTATCACCAGGTGCTGCTTCAAAAATATTATAGGTTTTTAATTGTTCAATAGTATATTGTTGAGCGCTATCACTTTGCTCTTCATCTAGTTGTTTACAATTTTTATCTTTGAAAGTATTAAAGAAGTACTTTCCTTGTTCAGCAGTTGTTTCTCCATTTTTTTGTGAAATTTGTTCATAACTACTTAGAGAGACTCTATAACATTTATCAGTTTCGTAAATTGAATAACCAACAATTGTTTTCTTATCTTTTTGATCATATGTGTATTGGTAAAAGTTTTTAGCAGAAACCCATGTAATAAATACAAGCAATAAGACAATCATTTTAATGTTTTAAGATTATTTCAAGGAGTTTAAATAGTTCATTTTGAGTGGTGATTTCTCTTTCATAAAGAATTATATTTATATTAATAATTAGTCATGACTTTTTAGTCTGTGAATGTGTTATATTTTCAGTCTTTTGCAATTTTACTTCAATTTATTGTTTCTCACGGCGGCTTAGTTAAAATAGATTCTATATTTATTCGTTTATTCTCAAAGTTTTTGTCGTGAAATTAATAAAAAGTTGTTATACATTTTATGGAATTATGGCTTTGAAAACCAATAAGAATTAAAGAAGAAAATATTCACGTAGACTTTTGACAAATTAACTAGATAAATATAAGTTAAGATTGAGTGGACACTTTTGTATATCTTTTCTATCCAAGATGAAATTCGATTTTACGTGGATGTTATATATATTAGAACTGTAAAACATTTTATTCATCCTAATGTTCATTTTATTCGTAGCCTTTATAATTTCTTTTACTAAAGCAGAAAATATTTATAGTGTTTCTTATGCTAATGGTAAATTATCAGTTGTTGATGTCTATGAAGATAAAAAATGTTATAAAATCAGTATATCAACATCTGTGAAGTATGTTTATGTAGCTGCAACAGACTCTAGTGCTGCAAAGATTGAACAATATACTTATCTTGTAAAAGATTGTAGTGATGAAACTATCCAACCTGAAGATTTCCCAGTTACTGCAAAAAAAGATATTAAGACGAGTAATGCTAATAGATACTATCTTTACAATGAGGAACCAGATAATATGAAAACTGAATGTAGCCTTACAACTAATAATGAATATGATGATGATAGCTGTACCATTAAAGTTTCTGAAGTAGTTTCATATATGTGTAATATCCCAAAAAACGTTGAATGTCATCAACATTCTCAAACTAATTTCTATTATAAAACACAAACTAAAGTTGGTTATTATGGTACATTCTATTTCCTTGATAAGAATTGTACTCAAGAGGCAAACTTTGGAAAAAGTATGAACAAATGTGGAGTATGTTCACCGATTTTAGTTCCATTAGATAAAGACAAACAGGTAATATATTCAATATATCAATGTGAAGATGAGTGTATTACTGATGGATCTGTTAGTACTTTTATTGCTATGATTATTGTTGTTCTTTTCTTCTTTTTTTAATTGAATAATTCCTTAGTTTAGTTTTTTATTTTTAAATGATAAGAAGAGAGATAGGTAAAGAGTAATTTATTATTGGTTTGTACTGTTCATTAATTTTATTTCAACTGTCTCATGTTATAAAAGTATTGTTAAATTTAATTCAATTCAATGGCTTATAATATTCTTTTAAACCTATTATCATAATTTTATAAAATTTGAAAGTCTCATTGATAGAATAGTTCAAGAAAAAAAATTATAATCAGAATCTATTAGTCAAATTGTTTCAAAAGAGTTTTACATAAGGAAGTTGTTTGTTTTTTTTCTTTATAGACTAACTTTGAAATAACATGAAACATAAATGAAAGAAATCAAGTAGAACTTATTTATGGTTTTTGATGTAATTAAGATATGTTGAAGACATCAAATATTTACTTGATGATTCATCAATTACACCAGCTTTTATTAATTCTTTTTGTAGTGAAATTCTATTACCTATTTCTATTAAAGATTGTTGTAGTTCTGTCCAAAGCTTATTATTTTTAATTTGGCTCTTAAGTTCTTGTAGTTGGAATAAATATTCAAATACAAGTCTTTCTCTTTCATGTAAATTCATTTCATTTTTTTCATTTCCAAGTTCATTGATATTATTTTGTAATTGTTGTACATTGTTAATAGGTATTTGATATTGTAGTTGTTGTACTGGGACTTTATAAAAATTCCAGAACGAGTTATATGAACAATTTAATACTTCTTTATTCATATACTCAGACAATTCATTGTTATCACAACAACGAATGATTGATGAACATTCTTGAATCTTGTTATTTTGGATAAGGAGATGAATGATTAATTTACCAATTTCATCCGATAATTGAATAAGTTCGATAAAAATTTTTTTTTGAACATTCCAAGACAAATTAGATAGATATTCAAATTCATTTTCAATACATTTAATTAAATTAAAATAAATACCACAAGATGAAAATGAAGGTATTAATTTGAAGTTATTTGTTGTTGACATAATATTATTGTTCATTTCTTGTATTTTTTCAATTGAACTTGAATCTGTTATCACTTTATCTAATGTTATTTCCATGACATCTTGTTGTAATAAACGAGGATCTACAAGTAATGAATAATTAGAAATTAAATGAAGTGCTTCAGACATTCTTTGAATAAATGATATCAATTCTTGTTTTAATTGTATTAGTTTTTGTTTACTCATTTCTTGTATTACAATAGAATCACTTTCGTATAAGTTTAATACATTTGATATAATTTCTAAAGTTTCATATATTCTTTTAATATCTTCTGGTGTATAATTAATAAGAACATTCATTGATAAATGAAGGTTTGGAAGAACATGAAATAATAAATTTATTGTTGTTTGAATTATATTAACCTCAGAATTAAAAAGAGTAATAACTTCATTTTGAATAGGTTGTTGTGTGGTTAAATATGATAAGTATTGTTGTGGTAAAAATAGTGATGGACAAGTCCAAGTTAACTCTACAATTTCATTAATTGTAATTACTTTTAAGATAATTTCATTTCCAATAAAATTTTTTTTAATTTGACATTGTACATCAACAGGTTGATTTAATTTTATTGTAGGATCTACTTCTTCAATGATTTGACCTTCTTTAATTCCCATATTTCCAATAGAAATAGCAAATTTATCATCTTCTATAGTATATTGTAATGAACATAACCCAAAACACCATGAACTATTAGGGTAATCAACCATTTGGTAAAAAGTAATACTATCATTTGATCCATTATCAAAATAAACTCTTCGTTCCCCATTGTCCAATGTAACCCCAAACAACATTGGGTATTCTGCATAATTTACACTTAACCCAATTTGTGGTAATGAAATACTCCTTTCAAATAAAACTACCATTTCTTTAATATTAAAGATATCAACACATCGTTCTTTTAACCCAAAAACCTTCCTTCTACTTTTGTCAACAACAACACTTAAATAATGCCCATAACGAACAATATCAAGACTATGATTATTCCTATTGAAACAAAACAATCCTTTAACATTTCCAACAAGAATAACCATCCCATCTGTGGCAATGCATTCAAATAATCCATCAATAGTATATTCAAAAATTCCTTTAAATTCAATTCTTTCATTTAATACAACAACAACCCCATCATCAGTTTTGATACATTGTCTAACACTACTTCCAACTTCATATTGTTCAACTCTTCCATTATCAATAATAGACAATTGTTTTCCTTTTCCATAAAAAACACCATCACTTATAAACCCACATGAATCACATCCACCTGCACCATCTCCAATTCTTCTTTTTTGTACAAATTTAGTACCTACTTGTCTAATCCTTTTCTCTTGAAAATGTTTAACATAGTTCCCAATTTGTTGTTCAAGTAATTTTATGATATTCATATTATTTTTAAAGATTTTTGTGTTTTTTATACAAAAAATAAACTATTTGTTATTAGTTTATTTTCTATTTGGATAACCATTTCTTTTTAGAATTATTTTAGATAACCTTTTATAATTTTCTTCATCTAAAATAAAACCATCATAAATAATAAAATAAACTTGTCTAGTTTCTCTTGGTTAGATTAATAACTTTCAAAGACTACGCTCCAGAAAAAAAAAACTCTCTAATGTAGTTCGTTTGTTGTTTAAAAACTCTCTGCCTATTCATTAATTTTTGTTAATTAAATAATTTTTTCTTTTCTCTGAACCACAAAATACTTCTAAAACCACAAGAAAGGTTATACTACGCTCAGAATCATTCAAAAATGGATTAAACATAAAATAATTAAAATTAAAAGTATTTAATTAGAAAGAGAGTAAACAAAAGAACCAAACTAAAACAGATAAATAAAAAGAATAAAGGTTAATAAATAGCATTATATATAGGCAATAAGAATAAAAATGAAGAAAAAAAAGAAATAATAAGAAAATAGATAAAAGCATGAAACTGGTTAAGTAAGAATATAAACACTTATATTTTAATTATACATACTGTCAAAATTATAAGTTAACATATAGTCATCAGTTGATTTTTGAGCTTGTTCATACAATGACATCATTTGTTCATTATAAACAGGAGTTGCAGTAACAACCGTACTTCCATCGAAAAATGTCATTATAGGTGTTTTTTCTTCTTTTTGTTCAACAGTAACACGTTTTGATTTATTAAATGGTAATGGAACAAATTCACCTTCATTTTTACTAACATTATTTTTATGAAGTAAAATAGCAAACCCAAGTTGTGGATGAAATACTGCTAATGTAGGTAATGAGAATGGGTTGGGGTCTAATATATTTAAAACAATTCCATGTTGTAATGCAGTTACATAAGTTCGATAATAATTTTCTGCATTATAAATTTCTATATTATCATGTTTATTAGGAAATACTATTTCTTTTGCCTCTTCTCCAGTTAATTTAACACACCGAATACGTTCTATTTCTTTTATTTCTTTCATTTCTTTTATAGGATTATTTCTATCAATACTCTTAATAAATGGATGGTTTAATGCTTCTGTTGGAGTCATTCGTTCATTTGGATCATATACAAAGATTTTTTTCAAAAAATCAATCAACACATCTGCTTCTTCTTCGTTCATTTCAATATCATTCATGCAACTTTTAATAACTCCTTCTAAGGTACTTTCACTGAAATAATTTTTGTTTGCTGTAATGTGTGTATTCATAGATTTTTCATATTCGTATCGTGTCTTCAATACAAAATATTCATCTTCACATGTCTCTACAGCACTTACTTCACCATTTTCGTGTTGAACAATTTTTGGTGATGGTCTTCTTCTCCAAAAAAATTCATCAGTTCGACTTCCTTTTTTTAATAATGTTGTACTTGGCATTCCAATTAATTGGATGATTTTACTTAATTGATTATGTTCACTACTTCCAGCAAATAAAGGAATCCCAAGAAATAATTCAGCAACAACACAACCAAATGACCACATATCTATTGCTGGTGAATATGGTAATCCAATAATAATTTCTGGAGAACGATAATGGCGAGATTGAATATAAGTATATAATGGACTATCTTGGAAACATGCTGAACCAAAATCTATTAAACGAATTTTTGACGATGAAGCTAATAACATGATATTCTCTGGTTTAATGTCACAATGAATTATTCCATTTTCTCTTAACAATTGAAGAGAACAAACTAATTGTTTACAAACTGATTGATTGAAATTATATGGAAGTCCTTTATAATCATTCATTTTTAATGCATCATATAGATTAATTGATAATAATTCACAAACAATACATAAATGACTTTTAAACATAAAATGATCCATCATTCTTATTGTATGAAATTCTCCAATTGGGTCATAATACCCATTTAATAATGTTAATATTGCTAATTCTAACATTCCTTGTCTTAAATAAACTAGTTGGTTTTTTAAAACTTTTACTGCAACTAATTGATTAGTTTGTAAATCTAAACACCTAAATACTTCACCAAAAGAACCTTGACCTAATAATCCAATAACTCGATATTGACTATTTTTTTTTAATCCATTTAATTCTCTAGAATATTAATTTTAATAAGTTAGTGAATTTATTTGATGAAAAACAAACGAGGTAGAAAAATCAGCACCTAAAATATCATCTACTCTAACAATTAAGTTATAACACTCATTATCATCTTGGTTATTTGGTAATGGAGTACTTGGAATTGTTAAGATACGACGAACGATAAAAGTATTAAAATCAATCTGAGGATTGCATTTTTGATAATTATGAATAAAACCTGTTGTTAATTTTTTCGTCACTGATTCATTGATGTCATTATCTTTCTCATGATTATACATTTCTGGTTGTTTCCATATCTTTGAGGAAGTGACTATTGTCATCACTCTTTTTGATTTCTTTTTTTTTTAAGATTTCTATTTCTTGAATCATCGATTTCGTTCTTTCTTTTTGTTTAAGAAGATAAAAAACTATATTTTTACTATCCAATTTAATTATTTTGTTTTGAATGGTTTGCACCTATTTTTTTAAATTTTTTACTTTAAATCATTTTTTTTTTAATTTTAAAAATTTTTATTTTCAAGTAAAGAAATTTTAAGATTTCAGTTGATAGATTTGGTGATGGAAACGAACAATTTAGCGAAGTTTTTAATGGGAATATTTGAAGGAGAAGAATATGAACAAGTTGTTTTAGAATTGACTAAAGAAGAGATTGCCGTTTCTACTGTGAATGATTTAATAGCCATAGCAAAACATTTTGATGAATTTGATTTAAAATTGAGTGAAGAGCAAAAAAAGAAAATACAAGGAGCGATTAATGAACGAACAATGAAAGAAAAAAAAGGAGAAAAAAAAGAAGAAAATAAGAAACGACTAGAAAGGATTCAATACAAATATTTAATGGATTACAGAAATTGGACAGCATTAATGTTTGCACAATTCTTAATGTATAATAAAATTAATAAAAAACAAGCATTCTTTTTAGCCACTGATATTTCACCAACAGAATTTATTGAAAAAAAAGAAAAAGAAGAAGAATGGATTTCAATAAAAGAAAAAATGAAGAAAGAATTAGCTTCAACTATTATTACACGAGCAGCTAGAAAATTAGGAAGAGAAAGAATTAATACACAAATGAATAAACGAGCTAATACAATTAAAGAAATTATTTCAACAGAAGAAAGTTATATAGAACAATTAAATACTGTAATTAAATTTGTACTTAATCCAATTAAGAAAGAATCAATTTTAAGTTCAGAACAAATTAAATTAATTTTTAGTGATATTACAACAATATATTCAGTTAATGAACAATTCTTAAAGTTAATTAAGAGTTTTGAATGTCAAGATTATGCAAATGTCTTAATTGGTCAAATCTTTAATCAAATGGGACCTTTATTTAAAATGTATGCAGATTATTGTATGAATTATCATGAATCTGATATTCTTATTCGTCAAATGGAAGCAGAACATCATCCTTTTATTTCTTGGTATTCAAAACAAGTTTTTGAGAATGCTTCTCCTCAATATAAAAAGTTTAAAATTTCAGCATTTTTGATTACTCCAGTTCAACGACTTCCTCGTTATAAACTTCTTTTAGCAGATCTTCTTAAATATACTCCTGCATGTCATCCTGATCATGAAAATGTTAAACAAGCATTAAAACTTATTACTGAAGTTACTATCACTGTAAATAATAATACAAAGAAAAGAGAGATGTTTGAGAAAATGAAAGAATATCAAATGAGTATTACTAACCTTCCTGAAGATTTTAAAATTAATAATGGTTCTAGAGAATTACTTGCTGAAGGAAAAGCATTAGAAATTAAAAAGAAAAATGCTAAACCAATGGCATTAATTTTATTTAATGATTTATTAATGGTTTGTGAATATATTGAAAAAGGAGTGTTTACTAAAACTCAAAAGAAGAAATTAAGTTTTAACAATACACTAAAATTACTTGATATGTCTTTTGCTGAAGTAAAAGAAAATGAAATTGAAGCAAAAGGAATTCAAGTAGAAATGTGTCTTGTTCTTATGATTTCTAAACAGAAATTTATATTTTCATTTATTAGTATTGAAGAAAAAGAAAAATGGTATGAATATTTAAGTAATGCTATTGAAAAAGAAAAAATTAAACAACAACAATTCGAAGCAAGAGCTAAAACAGCTGCAATGGAAAAAGCTGAAATGGCTAGAAATTTGATTCAAAATAAATTTAATACTTTCAATGCAGGTTCTATGAAAACTCGTTTGTTAAATAGTTTATTTCTTAATATTTTTATTATTTATTTATTATTTATACTAATTCTATTTATAGGAAGATGGAAAGATAGAGGAGCTTCTGTGGCATCTATGTCTTTTGCTGAAAAGTATAGAATGGCAGAAGAAATTAAAAACAGTCTTGAAGCACCATCTGAATAATTTTACACTTTTATTTTATTTATTCTTAAAAATGAAGAATTAAATACATAAAATAAATTAATTTTTAATAATCTGGAGGAGGAATACAATCATTTTGTGTTATCATTCCATTTATTATTTGAGGAGTAGGAGTTTTTGGTTGAATTTTTCTTAATAAAAATTCCAATAAAATATTAATATCTTTAAATGTAGGTCTATGTTCAGGAATTTGGTCCCATGCCTTTTCTATTATATCTTTAAAAAAACAATTATCATCAATACTAAGTCTATTTCCTGTTCCAACAAATCTTAAAATTGATTCACAATTTGGAAATTCTGTTGAATCATATGGATCTTGTCCTAACCAAATTTCTAACATACATATAGCAAATGAATAAACATCTGATTTTAATGTAACAAAATTTTTTTTAGTAATTTCTGGTGCCATATACATTGGAGTACCAATGTTTTGTAATTCTATTTTGCCTGATGATTCAATAAATGAACGAGAAGTACCAAAATCAGTAACTTTTGATGTAACTTGATCATATGGATTAATAGAATAAACTAAAACATTATCAGTTTTTAAGTCACGATGAAGAATATCATTTTCATGTAAATATTCCATACCACGTGCTATATCTTGACAAAATCTAACTTTTAAAAAATCACTTGTATAATTCATTTTAATATATTTTCTTAATGATCCTGATGGACAAAATTCTGTTACAAGACATAATGTATCAACAGTTATTACACTTCCAATGAAATTAATAATATATGGACTTCTAATTCTTTCAAGCATTTCTGCTTCTTGAATGAAATTAGGCATTAATTCTTCTATTCCAATTAAATCAGTTTTCATTACTTTAATTGCAACATCAACTCCTCTCCATTCAGCACGATAAACAATACCAAATGTACCACCACCAATAGGTTGATGTTGTAAATGAATTTCTTCAATATCTAATTTTGTAGATAATGCTGATTCAACTTGAAGATTTAAATAACTATAAAACTTTTCAATTTTCTTATTATTTTTAATTGAACTTAATTGTTTTTCATTAGTAGAATAATTTGTATTAAATTTTGTTAAATGATTTACTAAATCATCTTCTGATGAACTTAAAGAATTTGTAGAAGAATTATTAAGTTGATTTACAATTAAATTATTTTCAAGTAATAAATGGTTATGTTTTTTAATGTCTTTAATAATATCATTCATTGGTTTAAATTTAATTGTAATTGGAATTTTTTCATTTAATATTGTAGTACATTTCATTCTTATAGAAATTGATATTGTAATACTTTCAAATGGTTTAATAGTTTCAACAACTGGTTGACATGCAATTTCATATTTTTGATAATCCCCTGAATGAAAAGAAAAATGAAGAGGGTCTTTCCAATTATTTTTAATTTGAATATCAAATGACTCTATTTCTTCTATTTCTAATTTTTTACCATCAAAATCTATTAAAGTTGTAGAAAATGCGAAATATGGATTATTTTGTTGTATGTCAATATATTGAGAATTTTTTTCATCAAATGGAATTATTATATTTTCAAATAATATTTGATTTTTATTTTCTTCTTCTTCTTGTTGTATTTTTTTTGTTATACCAATATGTAAGTATAAAACAACAATAAAGAGTATACAATATAAAATAATATATGTTATAAGTCCTATTATTAAATATAATACCTTTCTTATTATTGATGGAATTCTTGAACAATCTGCTCTTTTATTTGTATACCAATTCTCTTGACATTCACATTCAATACATCCATCTCC